CACGCACACACGCACGCACGCACGCGCACCACCACCCACTACGCACACGCGCGCGGAGCCACAGGTCCGCTACGACACGCGTCCGCGGATAGAGAAAATCAGCGCCATGGTAAGGGATGGGAGGGAGGGGTAGGATGTCAGATGTTGACGCGAGCGCACCTAACTTGCCCCCTCCCCCCTCCCCCCCTCCCTCCCCCCTCCCCCCTCCCACCTACCCCCTCCCTCTGAAGACCTGCCAGACCATCCCAACCCAACGCGAAGACCCGAATTTCGGGTTGGGGGGGGTACGGGTTTCATGTGTGTTTTTCCATGTTCCCGGACCCCCCACACACTGGAAATGGAAGGCAAATTGAAGCCTTCGGGTTGGGTTGGGGTGACTTGGTGTTGGTGACCTCCCCCCTCCCCCATCCACAGTTGCGCAACAGGAATGCTGCTCCCCTCTCTCCACTGATCCTGTCCAGGGGGTCTCCCGTCCTCTCCGCGCATTGTCTATTCGCACACGATATTTCATTGTTTGTTTTTCCTGTTGTTTCAATCCCGTCATTTCCGGTTCTTTCAAAATGATGCTCCCGCTGCAGCGCCGCCCTCATTTCCGCGCTTCGGTTATTCAATATCGTGCTCCCGCTGAAGTGTTTGCCTCGTTCCCGCGCCTCTGGTTGTCCCAAATCGTGTTACCAAGCAGCACTGGCGTGTTCGGTCCCGCTATGCTTTGTGATGCAATGCTTCACTACGCAATGCCACGCCATGCTATGACATGCTATGCTCTGCCATGCTCTTCTACGCAATGTTTTTCCATCCATCCCGTACCCTCTTGGGATCATTGTCCTGCTCGACATCCGACTGTGCGAATAGATATGAGAACTACGCCATGGTAAGGGATGGGAGGGCGGGCTGGGACGACAGATGTGACGCTTGCGCACCTGGCTTTCCCCTCCCTCTCAATCTCCTCCTCCTCCTCCTCCTCCCCATGCCATCTCATCACATCATCATCATCATCATCATCATCATGCATCATCATCATCATCATCATCATCATCATCATCATCCAGTGCTAAAGTCCCAGGAATGGTGCTCTGGTACGATGTAGAAGTGTCAGGACGCAACGGTCAAGTGAACTCGCGGTGTTGAGGTCCCAGTACAGTCGAGGTACTACCAGAAGGAACGCTAAATAACCAGAATCGCCCAGGTGCACGAGGAAGGTTAGAGGAACAACCACGGAATGACCTAAGGAACAGCGATCCCCTTCCGAACCCAAAGCGGTCCTTGTTTCAGCGTCTTGGCTATAACTGCGTTCTGGCAAGATTCGGGAGTGTCAGTCACGTTGATTCACGGCGTTGAAGTCTCAGGAAGGTGTTCTGGCACGATGTCAGATTTTCAAACGCGCCCACCCCCGCGTAGGGCATCAGGCTGCGCGGCAGAGGTGTCCTGCCTGCTGCACCAGTGCAAAGTCTCCAAGGTCAGATGCCCTAACGTGCTGAATGTATATATCCTGCCGTGACCTGCTGCTGCTGCCCACGCAGGAAAAAAAAAAACAACAAAATGAACAACAAACAAACAAAAAACAAAAAAAACAGTCTGGCCACTTCACCCGAATCGCGTGCCCTACTTTTGTTGGCCCTGGGTCATTTGAAAAAAGAGGGAGAGTCCAGCCCCCGAGGCCATGATCCTTCGTAAGTCTTGCGCGATGCTCGCGCCCAGAAGGCCACCAAAACCCGTCGAAAATTGCGCCAGGACCGCGCTCACGGGCCCCGAATCCGTTTCGTGAATGACGCCCGGCTCTCGCGCGCCCGAAACCAGAAACTCTGTGTAAAATGATGCCTGATTCGCGCTCCCGAGACAAGACTTCCTTGCCGATTCCTGCAGGTTCGATTCCTGCAGTTCGCAATCCTCCTGCAGGCGGATTTTGAAGGAAAAAAATTCAAAAGTGGTCAACAAATGATCATAAATACTCGAGTGCTAAGACAAAATCATCCCCAGACTATTTTCTGACTATGTTTGAATGTTCCTCCTGTAGAGGGACGCGCCCGATTTAAAACAAGGATCCTATAACAAATTTATCAGAACCGCGCTCCCGGCGCCAAAATCCCTTGTAGCTTACGCCGAATTCGCATTCCGGAGGCCAGAATCCCTCGCAAATTAATCCACATTCGAGCTCCCAAGGCCAAACCCTTTGTAAGTGACGCCAGATTGGCGCTCCCGAGACCAGATTCTCTCGCAAATCATCCCTGATTCGAGCTCTGCGGAGGAAACACAGCGTTCAACAATAACTCCAAAATCTCAAGGTGCTTGCTGAATGTCAGTCGTGCTCGCATGATCTTCCCAAAAGTTGTCATAACAGCGCCGACACGTCCCAGCATAGCTCTGCATCTCCCAGTCTTTTTCACTCCTGAGAAGCTCCGAGGGTGTCGACTCGCAGTGCCACGTTGGGCCGCTGCTGCCAACAGAGAAATAGCAAAAAGCTATCGGGAAGCGAATGCAGAGTGGCGATGCGATGGGCACCGTCATACACCCTATGCTCCGTCGACCTTGGCCATGTGCTTGATCAGGTCAACGACGCGGCACGAGTAGCCCCACTCGTTGTCGTACCAGGCCACGAGCTTCACGAACGTGGGGTCCAGCATGATGCCAGCCTTTGAATCGAACGTGCTGGAGATGGGGCACGTCTCGAAGTCAGTGGACACGAGGGCCTCGTCGCAGTAGCCCAAGAACCCCTTCATGTCGCCCTCGGAACGCCTCTTGATCTCGGCGCAGATCTCCTCGTAGGTCGTCGCCTTCTCCAGCTCACAAGTGAGGTCCACGACCGACACGTCGATGGTGGGCACGCGGAAAGCCATACCGGTGAGCTTGCCCGCCACCTCTGGTACGACCTTGGCCACCGCCTTGGCCGCCCCCGTCGAGGAGGGGATGATGTTGCCCGACGCCGCGCGGCCACCACGCCAGTCCTTCTTCGACGCCCCGTCCACAGTTGGCTGAGACGCGGTCATGGCGTGGATGGTGGTCATCAGGCCCCGCTTAATGCCGAACGCGTCGTTGACAGCCTTCACCATGGGTGCGAGGCCGTTGGTGGTGCACGAAGCGCACGAGACGCAGTTCATGTCACTCTTGTAAGTGTCCTGGTTCACGCCCATCACTATGGTGTGGCTGTCGTCCTTAGCCGGGGCCGAGAACACGACCTTCTTCGCGCCCGCCTTGAGGTGCGGCTGGATCTTCTCATCGGTCAGGAACACGCCAGTGGACTCGCAGACGTAGTCCGCACCGTGCTCCTTGAAGGGGATCTCTGCCGGATCACGGGTGTGCGACAGCGCCACCTTGTGCCCGTCGATAACCAAGGAGTCCCCGTCGACCTCGACAGTGCCATCGTACCTGCCGTGGATCGAGTCGTACTTCATCTGGTACGCAAGGTACTCCGCATCGTAGCTCGCGTTCACCAGCTTGAGCTCCGTCTCTGGGTCCTTCATGACGATGCGGGCCACCTGGCGCCCGATGCGCCCGAAACCGTTGATGCCGACGCCGACCGCCTCCCTGGTCACCTTCGCGGATGAGCGGCGGCGGCTCGCGGCCACACCCACGACGCCGGCCGCAACGAGGGAGCACGCGGCGCTGGTGTTGAAGCCCGAGCTCGCGCCGTTCTCGACGCGCGGCTGGGAGATGGAGGCACGGAGAGCTGGCGAAGGGCCCTGAGCCGCCGCGGTGGGGACGCCCACGAAGCAGGCCGCGGAGTCGCACAGCGCCATGACGTCAACAGCCGAGGGACTCTGACGAGGTTACAAAATCGTGCAGGGCTGGTCGGAAAATCGCTTGAGCCGAAATGGCTGCGGATATATGAAATAGGGGGCCGGCGGCAGATGGCAAAGCCCTCACTGTGTGATTTCGGGTATTCAGGGGTGCCCGAATCCTACCCAGCTCATCACATAAAACTGTTGTTTGGGTTTCTGTTCCTGGTCCTGGCGAGACATCTCCGCTTTGGGGAGTCTGGGGGAGTGAAATCCTTTTTCCCTACCTAGGCTCTGCCTAGAAGGATTCTTACTCTCTAGTTTAAAGGGGCCGGGCAGTGCTACACGCCCCGGGCGGTTCCCCCTGTCCCCGCCCCGCGGTTCCCCCAGTCCCCTGGGAGCTTTAGCCTTAGCTTTAGCTTTAGCTTAGCTTTAGCTTAGCTTTAGCTTTAGCTTAGCTTTAGCTTAGCTTTAGCTTGGTGTTAGCTTAGCTTTAGCTTAGCTTTAGCTTAGCTTTAGCTTAGCTTCAGCTTAGTGTTAGCTTAGTGTTAGCTTACTTTAGCTTAGCTTTAGCTTAGCTTCAGCTTAGCTTTGGCTTAGCTTTAGCTTAGTGTTAGCTTAGCCTTAGCTTAGCTTTAGCTTAGCTTTAGTTTAGCTTTAGCTTAGCGTTAGCTTAGCTTTAGCTTAGCTTCAGCTTAGTGTTAGCTTAGATTTAGCTTACTTTAGCTTAGCTTTAGCTTAGCTTCAGCTTAGTGTTAGCTTAGCGTTAGCTTAGTGTTAGCTTAGATGTAGTTTAGATTTAGCTTAGCTTTAGCTTAGCTTTAGCTTAGCCTTAGCTTAGCTTCAGCTTAGCTTTAGCTTAGCTTTAGCTTAGCTTTAGTTTAGTTGTAGCTTAGCTGTAGCTTGGCTTTAGGTTGGCTTTAGCTTAGCTCCAGCTTAGCTTTAGCTTAGCTTTAGCTTAGCTTTAGCTTAGCCTTAGCTTAGCCTTAGCTTAGCTTTCGCTTAGCTTCAGCTTAGCTTTAGCTTAGCTTTAGCTTAGATTTAGCTTAGCTTGAGCTTAGCGTTAGCTTATATTTAGCTTTAGCTTTAGCTTATATTTAGCTTAGCTTTAGCTTAGCGTTAGCTTAGCTTTAGCTTAGCTTTAGCTTAGCTTCAGCTTAGCTTTAGCTTAGCTTTAGCTTAGTGTTAGCTTAGCCTTAGCTTAGCTTTAGCTTAGCTTCAGCTTAGCTTTAGCTTAGCTTCAGCTTAGCTTTAGCTTAGCTCTAGCTTAGTTTCAGCTTAGCTTTACTGTTACTACTAATGCTGCTTTCCTAGGGGCTCCAACTCCTAGGTAGGGTCGCACTGGGATAATTTCGACATCGAACAGTTGTCTTTCAACGGATCAGCTACTGTAGTGACAACAAACTGTTGTAGGAACATATGGAAAGAGAACTTGGAGGGATGGATTATTGCAACATCGTTGGTGCGTCTTGGCATTAAACTGGTACTCCTCTCCATCCTCATCCTCCTCATCTTCCTCCTCCTCCTCAGCATCATCCTCCTACTCCTCCTCCCCCTCCTCCTCCCACCTCCTTCTCCCTCCTCCTCGTCCTCCTCCCCCCCCTCCTCCTCCTCCATCCCGTTTCCTTCTAAATACCTCCTCCCAGTCGCCCCCCCCCAGGCGTATCCGTAGGGAGGGCCGGGCGTGTCGCCCGAGACTGCCCCACTGGTTATGGTCTTGAACCTGTTGCAGCAGCTTTGAGAATGGAGGGCAAGCGGCTTTCTCAAGTGGAGCTCTCGCCTCAGCACCGCAAGCACTCGTCCTGAAGGGTGCACCAGCTTCGAGGAGGAGGGGGCGGGGCGGGTCGTCTTCACAATGGCGCTCTCGCCTGCGCGCCGTACAGACTCGTCTGAAAAAAACTGCCACTGCTCAAAGGACGGAGGCCCTCGCCGTGGCGCCGCGCGAGCGAACGCGTCTTGAAATGCCTGCAGCAGGCTGGGAAAGCTTCGCACGGCTGGCGTCCCGGGGGCGGTGCTCTGGTACGATTCAGGACGGGCAAGACGCATCAGTCAAGGGGATTCGCGGTCCTGGAGCCCCAGGAGCGGTGTTCTGGCACGACTTCAAGACTGTCAGGACGCACCAGTCAAGTGGATTGGCGGACTTGGAGTCCCAGGAACGGTTTTTCTGGCGCGACTTCGGGCTGTCAGGAAGCATCAGTCAAGTGGATTGGCGGACGTGAAGTCCCAGGAAGGGTGCTCTGGCACGATTCAGGATTACCTGGACGCAACAGTCACGTTGACTCGCGGCGTTGAAGTCCCAGGACATGCGTTTTGGCGCTATCTAAGATTTTCATGGTTTGCTGAATTTGAAGGTTGTCCAAATCCTATCAAACTCATAATGTGTTTATATTGCTGTATTGTGTTTCTGGGTCCTGTCGAGAAATCTGTCCTTTTTGGCTTCTTGGGGCGTGAATTCTTTCCTTTTCTGAATTTTCGCACGGTTGTCTTTCAGTGGGCCACTTGCTGCGATGAAGGTAAATTCTGACAGAACCCTATGAACAGGGAACTTGTAGAGAGGCTTGATTGCAACATCGTTGGTGCGCCTTGGGTTTATTCCGGTCCTCCTCCTCCACCTCCCTCCTCCCTCCACCCTTCGCCCACTTCCCCTCTCCCTCCGCCTGCTCCCTCCTCCTCCCTCCTTCGTTTCTCATCCTCCACAACAACTGCGCGGATGGGGGGCGGCGATGGGGGGCGGTCCTTTTTTCAAAAGGGGCAAATTGCTGGAGACCTCGTTGAACTGTATGGTCACAGTGGTTTGCCTTCCTGTGTATTGCAGCATCGTTGATGCATCGTGAATTTACCCTCCTCCTCCTCCTCCTCCTCCTCCTCCTCCTCCTCCTCCTCCTCCTTATCCTCCTCCTCTTCCTCCTCCTTGTTCCTTGCTCCTTCCTCCTTCCTCCTTCCGCCTTCCCCCATTCCTCCTTCATCCTTCATCATTCCTCCTTCCTGATTCCTCATCCTTCCTCCCACCTTCATCCCTCTTCCTTCCTCCTTCCTCCTCCTCCTCCACCTTCCTCCTTCCTCCTTCCTCCGTCCTCCTTCCCCTTCCCCCTTCACCCATTCCCCCTTCCTCGTTCCTCCTTCCTCCTTCCTCCTTCCTCCTTCCTCCATCTCCTCCTCCTCCTCCTCCTCCTCCTCCTCCTCATCATCATCATCATCATCATCATCATCATCATCATCATCATCATCATCATCATCATCATCATCATCATCAGCATCAGCATCATCATCATCATCATCATCATCATCATCATCATCATCATCATCATCATCATCATCATCATCATCATCATCATCATCATCATCATCATCATCATCATCAGCATCATCATCATCATCATCATCATCATCATCATCATCATCATCAGCATCATCATCATCATCATCATCATCATCATCATCATCATCATCATCATCATCATCATCAGCATCATCATCATCATCATCATCATCATCATCATCATCAGCATCATCATCATCATCATCATCATCATCATCATCATCATCATCATCATCAGCATCATCATCGTCATCATCATCATCATCATCATCATCATCACATCATCATCATCATCATCAACATCATCATCATCATCAACATCAACATCATCATCATCATCATCATCATCATCATCATCATCATCATCAACATCATCATCATCACATTGCATCGTTGGTGCATTGTTTCTGTATTGGTGTCCGGTACGATTACAATATTGTTGCATTGCCTTGCATCATGCTTCACAGCATGTCATTGCGTTTGCACCGTTGTCGCGCTTGTGTCTCGGATTGTATTCCAGCACATTCAATTACAATGCGTTGGTGTTGCACGTGTGTTAATTGCATCGAATTACCTTTGCATGGGTGTTGCACTGCGTTGGCACTATTTTTGCCATATATGCACATACACAGACGCACGCATTACTTTGCAAAGAATGCACTACATTGCACTGACTTGTGCTTAGACTGCCGTTCCATTGCTTTGCACTACGACGCATTCCGTTTACATTGCGTTTGCACCACTGTCCACTGCATATCATTGCATCTATTTTGTTCATTGTATTTTCCAATACGCTTCACCGCACTGCATCATAATGCATTGCCGTGCAACGCATGTCACTCAAGGAAAGGCAAAACAAAATACAAAAAAAAACAATCGGTGTCACGCTCGGGTACTTGAATCGGCTCTTCTGGCGAACCCCCTCCTCCTGTAACTGCACTCCCACAGCCCAAATAGATCAATGCCTGCTACGGCGGGTCCGTATGCTGATGGCCCCGGCGTGGATCGTTCGACCTTGAACGATCGGCGGCTTTTCAATCGCCAGGTCTTTCCATATTGGCCAATGCTGGGCCGCTGGCGGCGTTCAGCCTTGAACGCCCGCGCCGGAGTCGCTGCCTCGTCGGTACGACACGAACCTACCGTACCTAGAGCCAAGCAAAGAACTGCATAAGCATAAACTTCCGGAGGTCCGTGCGCCTTTTGGTTCCTAATCTTAGGTCGGGCATGTCCCCCTGCAGGGGGATCTTGGGCGAAAGATTTTACAGATACTCAAAAAAGATGCTCAAGAGTGATCGAGAAGTACTCTATCACAAAAATCCCCCCCAGACTATTTTCTAACTATTTTCCAATCTTCCCCGTGTAGAGGGACACGCCCGACTTAGTCCGAACCCCCTCCCCGGCGCGCGGGAGTGCGCCGGGTGCGGCGCCCGAGGCGCCGACACGGGGGCTGCGCGCCGATGTCCGGGAAGTCCGCGCGGAGCTCCGACAGTCGATGCTTGTGCTAGGCTTCGGTGGGGCGTGTCCCCCTACAGGGGGAGCTTGGGCGAAAAATAAAAAAAATCCTCAAGGAATGCCCCCAAGATATTCAAAAATAGTCCAAATATCGTCCCCTGACGACTATTTTCTGACTACCCTTGAAGATCCCCCCTGTAGAGGGACAGGCCCGACTCAATGCTAGGTCGGGCATGTCCCTTGCAGGCGGATTTGGGACGGAAAAAAATGTCAACAACACTTTTGTTTCACGGGCACAAGAAAAAACACGACAAAATCGTTCCCGTACCATTTTCTGTCCA